AGATCATGTACCAGGTAGACTGGAAGGTCTTCTGATAATCAGATTTGGCTATTTTCATCATTGATCCACTTCAGTAAGAGCAGATCTCAGAGAATGCAAACTTTAATATTTCATAATTTTTGTAAACTAAAAACAATATGAAGCCAAATAGCTCTAATAATATACATGTTAAAACATTACTAACATTATCTGGCTCCACAGTTGCATCTGGATATGTATGTTGTTCTTCCTCCACAGCGTAACTTAATCCTGCATGATTCTCAATCACAACTTCCTTGACCTTAACTGCATAGGAAAAAAAGATTTGGTTTATGACCAATTTTTAGCCTCAGAGGGCATCATTTCCTGCTGTTCTACAATTTTCTTTCACATTTTGCTTTACAGAGTTGCTTTATCTTAGATCAAAAAGAGAAAAATCCATTTTATTATTATTCATTAAAAACATATGCACAATAAACTTTTTCTGGAAAACTGTAATTACTACTATTCTATGAATAAGACCCTTTATGAGAGAGCAATGTGATGGGAAATGCTTTTCTTATTTTGAGTACAGATGCAAAAATATTCTAAGTATGTCAAAGTTAAGAAAAATGCACATGAATAGGTAAGACAGAAAAATGCCAAGTGCAACCAATAGTTGCTTATGAATGGTAGGACCAGGAGGAATTTTACTTCTTTATACATTTTGGTGCTGTCGAAAATCACAATGAGCACATATTACTTCTATTATAGATTATCATTCCTAATAGCATTTGACATATTAAGAATATATGAAAAGTACACTTTGGTCTCACATAGTATTTCAGGTATTCTGAGTTTAATTTTTCTCTTGCTCTAATAGCCAACATTTGTGAAAAAGCTGGACAAAGCGTATGATCGTCTGTGGCTCTGAATAAAATGAAAACTGCTCTATCAAATATAAACTAAATTTGTCTCGTCACCATATTATTAAAAGAGATCATGTACCTTAGAAGTATATTTCTGAAATGTTTTGTGTAAGATAATTTCCTAAGCGGTTAACCCAGAACTTACACATGTATCTGTGTGTGTGTATATATATATATATATTATTTGTAAAAGTAATGCAAATTCACATTACAGATAATTTAGAAGCAAAACTAATACCAAATATTATGTTCAAATACAATTTGTCTAAATACAATCATTTAACTCTCCTAGTTCACTTAAAAATATATTGTGACATAAATGATTTAACTTGAAACTGGTTGCTTCTATGCACCCTAAAATTTTAAGTAAAGAAAAATAAATAGATGGTAAAATTTTACAGTGAATTAGTTTTTCTTAGCTCATATCAGAAGCTAGTTGGGAGGTGGGAAGTTAATCTGGGTTTTTAAAATTCATAATCCCAATTCTATGCTGATATCTATCCCTACGAAGAAGATTCCCCACAGAGATGTGTGAACAGGGCAGCATTTGTACAGTATTAAGAAATGAAAAATAAAAAGGAGAGAAGGAGCAAGGTCAGTTACTTAAGGCATTCAAGATTTCAATGGATAGGTCCCTGAATGTAGTTGCAAGAGAAGTGTTACTTGTTTGGAAATGGTTTACTGATGATTGGGACCCATTAGGAAGCTCCTAAAAAGCATTAATACCATGAAAGCAGTGCCGTTAACAGTAATCTTCCATACTATGTGGGCAGGCAACATTTGCTGCTCTCCTACAAAAGGAAAAGGGTACAGAGCTTTAACCACTACTGAACTACGTGGTATGGGTGCATCGATGATTCTGTTACCAGCAGTCACTGAGGTTATTTACCGCTTTTCATTACAAATAACACTACAATAAACCACTGCTCACATAACCTGTGCACAGCAATCCCACTGTGAGTTTCTTCGTCTCTCACCTGCTGCTTCAGAGTCACTACCACTGATGTTCTCCTGGGCAAGCGGGTGAACATGACCAAATGGGTCACAGGCCAGTGGGCTTCCAAGGAAACTTTGTTCTCGGCTTACTGAGACCCTCAGGGGGTCTCTGTCTTCATAAAAATCTGGTTTACCTGGGAGAAGAAAAAAATGTCTCTTCAGATTTCCACTTAATTTTCTAGAGGCTAGCTAAAACAAAAATGACAATTTAAGCTATGAGTAAAAATCTAAAACTCTTGACCTATGTAGCAAAAACTGCTCATCTTTCACACAGGCTTTTAAATTCTTTTACTTCAGTTTTACTGTTTTTAATGATACTCCTACTTCTTAATACCAGATAATGCTTCAGTATTGACTAATCAGAGGAGAAATGTCTGGAGAACTTAAACTAACTAGGTATAATATGCATTTGTAAATAGAGTTCAAAAACAGCTACAGCTGATCTGTAGTATAAGAAATCAAGATAGGCATTTACCTCGGGAGAACTGAAAGAACAGTAATTGGGAGGGAACAAGTGAAGGGCTCATGGAATTATCCGACCTAGTCTTGACCAGTTGGTGTTTACATGGGGTGGTTTTTACAGCAATAATCATGGAAAGAAACTGGGTTTGTGTACTTCTCTGATTGTTACATTTTGATACAAAAATAAAATATAAGCACACATAGTGGGAAAATCTGAAAGTAGAAGCTAACTTACTTGCAGAACCACAGAAAAATAGGAATTAAAGGCACCAGGTATTACAATAGAAAGGTGTGCATCAGGGAACTAAAAACGGAAAGAATGTTCAAAAATACATACTTGGAACAGAGAAGATCCTTCCCATCTCCTGAGATCCCTGCCCTTCAACATTACCTCCAAAGGATACAAAAGATTTAATTCTCTGGAGAACCTGAATCCAATACACTCTGAATTCAGGGGTATCAAGCATTGAAAGGTGGCAAAGGTGGAAGGAAGGGATAGAATGTTAAGAAAATCAGCGGTATTAAAAGGAATTCTTCATCTTTAATCCAGGTCTGACTCCAATATGTCAACAGCTAGGCTCATCTCAAGCTTGGAAGATCTTTCGTTGAAAAAACTAAACTGTAAATTTGCTTCAAGGATACAAAATTTTTGATACAAAAAATTGAGATACAAAAAATTGAGAGTTCCCAACGGAAAGCCACCTTTTCCAATTAAGTCTAGCAGTAAGCCCCCACCTACAGGATTGCCAATTAGCCTGTTAGCAGTCCTCTCAAATATGCAAAGTATTAGAGAAAACCCTTTAAAATATCAGACAGAAACAACAAAAAAGGAATAGTTCAAACAAAGAAAATACAGGTACCCAAACAAAAAACTAAATATTCAAAGTTGGTAATACTTTGCATCCATGAAACAAAAGCAAGATACTATGAAAAAGGAAAAAAAAAATCAGGAAAAAGAGCAAAACTTTAGAAACTACAATTTGATAGTCAAGATAAGTCATAAGTTGAGGAAATTCTTCCAGAAGGTAACCAAAAGAAAAAGAAATAGAAGAAAAGAAAATTGATCGATTAATATAGATCAGTGTACCTCAACATTATTTTTATCATGTACCTAAGGAGCATTTTTAGGCTTTTCTTCTCCCTTGCCTCCTAAGTTCATAAAATCTTAAAAACTTCACATATATTGTATATCTTTTAATGTACATCTGTACTTTGGTGCATAAAAAGAGTTAAGACTTTTTCACCTCCTCAAAAACAATGTTTGTCCCCCTGGGGGAAATAACAGCCTTGTTAAGAATGCACGATATAGGTCATCCAACTTCCAACTAAAAGGTGTTCCACAGAGAAAATGGTGTGATCTCAAATTACATTAGAGGTATTTAATATAAAAAAAAAGTTTTAAAAGAAGGATATATAATGCGTAGCATACTAATTGTCTCAGCAGTGAAAAAATACATATACAACAGCATGATGATACTTTTGCTTAATTTTGCTAAAATCCACTGCTAACTATAGAGGTAAATACAAGAAGAAACATCAGAAAAACATGAAAAGTGACTGCTTCTGGTGAATAAAATTAAGGCATTAGGGGTGGGTAGTGGAAGAAAGAAATGTCATTTCAGATTACAAAGATTGAGCGCTATTTGTCCTTTTTAACTACTTGCCTGTAATATTTTGATTAAAAGTATTCTCCAAAGAAGTGTGATACAGGCTAGGATGAAAGTTTTCCAGGAGCACGAGAGGGATCCCTGATAGTTCACAAAAAGTTTACCAGAGAAGTGGCACTTAACCAAACCCTGCAGTGAGAAGGGCCTGGCACATGAAGCTAGGGGGCTTAGACTTCATTGACATTTACTCCTTGAATCAAAGGGAAACCATTCGAGTTCTAAACAGGGAAACACAAAAGATCACTCTGAATATACCATGGGAAAATGAATTAGCTATAGCTAGACTGGGAACAGGGAGACATCGGAGTTGTAGCAGCCATTCAAGAAAGAAATGATAGCCTAAATTGAGTAGTGGTGGGAAGAGAAGCAGGTAGAAGATTCCAGAACAGACCAAAGAGAACTGAGAACTGGCGATTTACTAGGTGTCAGGTGTACAGACAAGGGTAGTGTTGAGACCTACATCTGGGTACTTTTAACTAACAAAAGGCTTCTGAAGGACAAGGAGGTAGAGGTGAGGGAATATAAAGCTTTCCCTTTTAGACAAGATGACATTTTTACGATCTCTAACATTGTTATAGGAATTAATGGTGAGAATTTCCCAAAGTTCATCCTTAATCAGGGAAAACACTAATCAATTCATGAACAGCTGTGGTTTGCAAGAGTCGGAAATTGGAGAAAAGCTCCCAAAGCCCAGTAATAAGTTCATTACTCTATAACTTTCATAGACATAATAAGAAAGCAGAAGGGGACTAATTCTTAAGAGTTAGTTTCCATCTCTGCCTTCCTTCCAGCCAGAACAAACGTACATAATTTCATGGCTTAAGATTACAATAGTCAATATTAACATTATACTTATATGAAAACCAGTCTATTGACAAAGCTAATTTTCCTCCTTAAAAAAAAAGGATTTACTTTGATAAAAATAATCAAGAAAATTATCTGGTGAGTCTGAAATCTAAGGATTGCAGGGAGTAATTTTTCTAGATTATTGTAACTAGGTAGAAGTTCAAAGAAGAAATGTATGTACTGTAACTGCTAAAGCCAGGATTTTAAGCATAATTATCCTATAAAAGACAAAGGAAAGGAGCAGTGAAGGTGCTGAAGTAGAAAAGCAGCAAGGGCAAAGAGAAAAAATGAGTAATATCCTAAAGAAATAGGTTTAGAAGGCAGACCTCAAAGGAAGCGGAGGGAAGGAAGGAGTGTCAGAACATGAGACATCGAGGAATGTTCTATTGTAAATTTGTTTTCTCCATACGCAAGAAACTAGTTATCTAATGCAACACCTCTTTAAGTCCAAATTACAAATACTTTTACGTAAACCATTGTTTTCCTTTCATGAGTACCCACAGCCTAAATTTCTAAAACAACAAAAAAATGGGCATCCTGAAAAAAATGTAGGAAATTGGCAAACTATTAAAAGTCATATTTTATCAACCATCTGTTTACCTAGTAAAGAAATTTTACCACTTGCTGGTGATTCCACCTCTTGTATAGCACTAAGCTCATGCTGGTTCAAGTCCAATCCACATTTAACTTTCGCCACAGGTGGCTTTGAGGATCTCCTGCCCAGTTCTTTGTCCAGATGCTCCCCTAATCAAGTCAATAATAAAGTTAGGCACAGCACAAACCTGCTACCAAACCACTTTTTTTCACCCAGTAAGTTGCAGGAGGTTGAAGCAGAGAATGATCTGTAAGATAATCACAATAAAATGCAATCATCTCACCACTGTGCTTGGCACTACTATCTCCTGAAAGCAGCGGATCACCATCAGAGTTGCTCCGACCTGCAGGGCTGATGTTTTCCTGATCATCTCTCACTAGGTGTTGTAAATGAGGAGGCCACTCTCTGTGCTTCTGGGTGAAATCATTTTCAACTGTGGGCTTATTTGTCTGAAAAAGTGGATAGATGAGGGTGGACGATGACACAGGATGAGGGATCATGTTAACGAATTCATTAGATTTATATCTCCCTTCTTAAATTAGAACCTCAACTAAATAAACAGTTCCATCAGTCACACAATTACAAATTTATTCACAGATACAATGAGAAATGCTTTTAATATTGAAAGGGTGGTATTTCCATTCACAACAATGGACCTAAACATTAGCCTCTACAGTATCTTTCAATAAGAGATTGCACTTAAGTATCCCCTCTGCTTTTCTTTCCCCTTTACTTTTCCTTAAAATGACCAGTAAATCCCCAGATATCAAATTCTTATGAAGTCAACCAAGCTTCTCCTGAACATCAAAAGATTTGTAAAATTTCATTTAGGCTACCTTATAAATTTACAAAGTGGCCTTTTAAAATAAAATGGACACATTCATATTTAGGAGAATATACTTGTCTCCCTTAGAGAAACTAGGAGCATCTGAGCGACCGTGCCAGAGTCCTAACAATTCAGGAACAAGTAGCAGGTCCAACTGCCCATCAGCCTAAATTCAAGCCAGTTTTACAACAGGTGTTAACTGTCACCTAAAGAAAAAGATGATACTGACTTTGACTTATGTGCAAATGTCAACAAAGTGCTACACAGAAAGCAACAGGGTCAGCTATTTGCTCAAGAGAAATTCTGCTAACTAGTTATTTTACAATGTAATCTTACGGTGAGCTCAAAACCCAATGTAACAAAACTTCAAGTGACAATCTACATTTTCAGTGGTGTTTGCATTTGGTTGTATACAATTACTGGCTGAATTTAGCTGAGCTTCAGATAACTATTAACTTCATGAACACTATGTGAGGTGGATCCATTTTTATGTTTTAATCTTCATATTGTTTGAAGTAGAAAATTAAAGTACAGTTAAGGTCAAATCACTTATTCTCAGTAACTAAGAACTGACTTAGGCCTAGGATTAAAACACACATTTAGTTTGAGTTATGTTCACTGGTTAGTTCTTAGATACTCAAGTTTAATACACACCTGACTGCCTTTAAAGAAGTCCTTCATAGTCTCTTGATGTTTCCGGATGTGTTGCTGTAATTCTGTTTGTCTCTGCACAAGCAATTTTTCTTGAACTTTCTGGCTATAACGCAGGACCTCTTTTTGTAGATCCAACTGCTTTTGAAGCCCCACATTATCTTGCTGAGCTAAGACAGGTTGTGAAAAATTCAAAAGTGTACCTTGAAATCTTGGGATAGCTGAATCACTTGAGGGACCTGTGTGTTCATTCTTGGATGAATATAATTCACATGTGTTTTCAGATTTAACTTCAGCAAAAGGTAGTGGAATAAATGCACGTTCTGTTTCTTTGGGTAGGAAAGACAAAAAGGAAACAGCATGATCTGATTTACTTTCAATCAACTCACTGTGTTTGTCCAAAAGCAATTCTTCCTGGGCTTTTTCGGCAGAATGTACCGCTTCTCTCTGGATGGCCAGTTGTGTTGTCAAATGGTCTCGCTGAGGCAGAACAGGCTGTGATGAACACAAACACCCATCCTGTGATCTGGGGACCTCAGGATGACTTGAGGGAACAGTACCATTACTTCCGGTTGGAAAAGCCTTTGGGATTCTTTCAGAGTCAGCAACAGGCAGTGGTACCTGGGATAAGGGTGAAGAGGAGCTTACCTGCTCAGATGATACCCTTTTCTCCAACTTACTTAGCTTCTGCAGAAGCACTTCCTCCTGGGCTTCCTGTCTCAAGCCCATGGCTTTCCTCTGCGTGTCTAACTGCTGCTGCAGTGCTTTCAAGTCACTATGGCAAAGTTGGACAAAATGCTCAGAAGGTAACTGTTCCTCCAATTTATGTAGCCTTGGCAAAACCAATTCTTTCTGGGTCTTCTCGTGACAGGGAAGGGAATCTGCCCGGGCATTCAAGTGTTCTTGTTGAAGTGCAGTCAGATCTTGTTGAGGTAAAATAGGTTGTGATAAACCTAAAAGCCTATTGGACAATCTTGGTATTTCAGAATGACCCGACAAGGCTGTATTGTCACTCTTAGCTGAACAAGGTTCTTGGATTCTTCCAGATTCACTAGTAGGTAATGAAGCAAATGAATGCTGTACAACTAGGGGTAAGAAGGAAGAGGTACCAACCTGCTCAGGAGATACTCTTTCCCTCCACTCCTTCTGTTTATGGAATTCCTCCTGAGCGTCCCGTCTACATTGAACGATAGCTTCCCTCTGTGTAGCTAACTGTTCTTGAAGTACTTTCAAATTATCTTGTTGAGGCTGGATAAGCTGTGATATCCTCAAAAGCCTATCCTGCAATTGTGGAATCTGCAAATGACTTGCAGGAATTTTACTATTGCTCTCTGTTGAAAGAGGTTCCGGGGCTGTACTAGATTCAGCAAAAGACAATGAAGTAAGTGAAAGCTTTCCTAACTGAGGTATGAAGGAGGAGAGGCCAGTTTGTTCAGAAGACATACCTCCTTGGGTTTTCTTGCTAAAAGGAAGGGTCTCCTCCTCTGTGTCTAGCCGTTCTTGGTGTTTCTCCAAATTATCTTGAGGTTGTGTATGTTGTGAAAATCTCAGTAATGTTTGTTGAAATTCTGGGATCTTAAAATGGCTTAAGGGAACTGTACTGTCACTCTTGACTGACATAAATTCCTGGAAGCTTTCAGATTCAGCTACCTGGGACAGGGATAAAGAGACACCAGTTTGTTCAGAAATTCTTTTTCCTAACTCACTTGGTTTGTGTACAAATTCCTCAGTTGCTTGTTCAGTATCCAGCATTACCCTCTTTATGTGTGACTGTTCTGGGAGTACCAACTTTTCTTGCTGTGGCAGGCTATGCGGTGGCAAACTGAGAGACGCATACTGTAATGTTGGGCTCACAGAATGCCTTGAAGGAATATGATCCCTCTCAGAAAAACAAATGTTCTGAATTCTTCCAGGCTCGGTTTTAGCAGAAGCTTGTAAAGCAACTGCACACTGAGCAACCACTGGTGGGAATGAAGAACTCATCTGCCCAGACTTGCTGTACTCCAAATCCCTTTGTCTGTGTGAAAGTAATTCTGCCTGGGCTTTGTGCCTAGCCTGAAGGGCATCCCTCTGTGCAGTCAGCTGTTCTTGGAGCAACTTCAAACTTTCATGTAAAGGTAGGAGTTGCTGTAGGAAACTCGAAGGTCCAGTGTGAGATTTGGGGATTTCAGATTGGCTTGAGAGAAATCCTGTCTCACTCTTAGATAAATACTGCTCCTGGATTTCTCCAGATTGAGTACCAGCAGAAGATAGTGAAGTAAATGTATGCTTAGCCACCTGCGATGGGAGAGGAGGAGGATCAGTCTGTTCAGACAATACTCCTCCATCCAATTCACTTTGTTTACGCACATACAATACCTCCTGGGCTTCCCTCCTAGCCTGAAGGTTGTCCCTCTGAATATTTAACTGTTCTTGGAGCAACTTTAAATTACCCTGCTGTGCTAAGATACACTGTGAAAAACTCAAAAGCCTATCCTGAAGTTGTGGGACCCCAGGATGGCCTGAGGAAACTGCAGAATCATTTGTGGTTGGAGAAGAGTCCTGGAGTCTCCCTGATTCACTTTTTGCATGAGGAAGTAGAGCAAATGAATCCAGCAGTACCGATGGAAGGAAGAGAGACAGGCCTGTTTGCCCTTCCGATTTTTTCTGTTCACACAAAAGCAACTGTTCCTGAGCTTCCTGTCTTGACCGAAGAACCTCCTTCTGCAGGTCTAACTGCTCTTGGAGAGCCTTCACATTACTCTGCTGGACTGTGACAGTCTCTGAGGGAGGCAGAGACTTATCCTGAATTTGGCTGATTACAGAAACTGTACTTTTGCTCAAGGCTGAAAAGGGTTCCTGTATTTTTCCAGACTCAACTTTAGCAGGCAGAGAATTAAAAGAACGCTCAGCTGCCAGTGGCAGAAGTGAAGAAAGTTCAGTTTGCTTAGAAGATATGCTTTCTCTGTTCTCTGAGAACATCTGCTGGGAGCCTAAAGTTTGAGAAGTTGCTGCCTTAAATATTTCAGGTATTCCTCTAGCATCCTGTAATATTAGTGGTCTGTCATGTGACAAAGCTCCTGAAAGTGTATGAGAATCTTTAGGGAACAATTTATAGTCTCTCTGTTGTGTTTTAGTCTGTGAGAATTGCTTTAGCTGTTCTTGTGATTCCAAAGATTGCTTGGCTAAAACATCTGAAGTGATTAATGCTTTTGTTGTTTCTACCTGTCTTTGTGGAAAGTGATTTTGTTTCAGAACCTGAAAATAATCTTGTTCTAATTTGGAAATCTGTATGGGTTGTAGAGGTTGGTATTTGTTAGGATTCAGCTTGGGTCTCTGACCTTGATCCCAATGTTCCAGTCTAACAGGGGGTCTTTCAGATTTCTGTGTTGGTATTGGTAAAACCGAATCAGGTATCAATGATGTAGCTGACATGGATGAGTACTTTCCTTTTAACATAGTCTGATAATCAAGTAATTGTTTCCTGGCTGTTTCAACAGACTGTCTGTGAAATCTATCAACAAACAGAAAACAAACATTATTCTTTTTTGATAAAAAAAAAAAATGCCCCATATTCTCAACTGTCTGCACATTAAACTTAATGGAATAAAAATCTATAGTTGGCCATATCATCATGATGGAAAAGGACAGTGTTCACACTGCCCTTGAGAAATCTGTATGTAATAGTCCTGAGGGAATCCTAATCAGACAGACCTTCATATAAAACAGACAAAAAGTCCTGAAGATGTAGTCAGACACTGTCATATATAAACTGTACCCCAGTTAATACCTGTTTTGCTGCAAAAGCTGATGTTGATAGTCACGAATCATCTTCCTATGATCATCTTTATCAGAACTTGCAGTGCATGACGCTGGAGCAGTGCCAACCTAATGAGAGATAAAGCTACTAAACCAAAGGTAAAATCTAGAAACAAGTACTAAAGTATTTATATAAATAGAAGTTCTACTGTAAATGTCCAAGTAACTTTATTTTTACCAAAAAAGACTACGAATTCCATTATTAAGAAATGAAATAATACACCATTCTCCTCTAGTGCCAGTTCAAGAGTTAGTATGTAACATACATATTACATACTAATCATGGTCATATAAACTGGCACCCTCCAGACACTGAAAAATGAAAGCCATTAGCTTTGTATAAGAATATATATTAAGAAAAAACAAAAAATAATACCAAATAAAATTTAGAAATGCATTTTACTTTTCTGAGTGCTGAGAGTGTTCATATTTTCTTATCCCCTACAATCTACGTGAGGGTGGGATTTCCTGAGTCCTACCCCAGTCTGCCGAGTTTCTTTCTTTTTTTCTTCTTCCAGCTGAGCCCTGAAGCAATCAGTTTCTAATCTTAACTTCTGTTGTTCAATTTGTTCAAGTAATTCCAACTGCTTTTGCTTCTGCTCTTCTATTTCCATTATCTAATTAATAGAAATAATACTGATCTATTAACAAACTCATACAAAAGAAAAATTTATATGCATCACATTAAAAAGAAATAGGTCATTACCAGCAGTACCAATTATCTGAGAAAAAAATGATGCTTTATCTCTGTTATTGCCACTACCAAGAAGGAGAAAGGGAATGGCAGATGAAGAGAAAGGAAGAGAAGTAAAAAAGAGGTAGAAGGCAAGGAAAAATAAACACATTAACTATTTCTATTTTCTGGGAGCATAGGGAAACTCTGATCGCCTCTGAAGATCCACCTCCAGAGAAGCAGCAAATGATGCTATAGCCAAATTTTGTGTTCACATCTTTAATTTTAAACTGTTCTCTGGAAGAATATGACTAAGGGAATTAAATACCAAGCCCTCCCAAAACACTTGGATTCCTTAGGCATACCCATAAAGGGGTGCAGTTATCTAGAAGCCAAATAATAATACAATGAGCAACATTGTGTCTTTTCTGTTGGGTGTACAACAGATGGGAAGAAAAATTGCAGAAGGATGACATTAACATCATACCCCCCCCGCCCACAGACCCAATAAGAACATACGTCAGAGAAACTCTGAGTTTCATGAGGACAAGGATTATTAGTCTGTCTGGTTGCCTATTAAACCCAGCACTTATTACAGTCCCTGAAACATATATAATGTGAATATTTACTCATTAAGTAGAAAAAGAAATGTGAAGTTTTATTAACGCTTCTAGAGATAGTGAGGAATGATTTTTCTCAAAATAAAAAATGTCTCAATTTGATACTTTACCTATTCCCCATCAGGCGGCTATGGCCACAGCTGAGTTCCCGTCTTCCTTACTTTCCGTTACTGTGTTTATAGACTGTTTACATTCCCACAGCACCTCCAGAACTGCACTATGGACAGTCACTAGCTACATGTGACGATTAAAAATTAACTCAACTTGGCAGAACAATGTATACAGTATGTAGCATTTTGGGAAAAAATGCAAATAGGTACATCTGTGTTTGAATCCAAGCAGCCTTTTCTGGAAGGATATACTGTTTGCATTTTTCCATGTGCAACTATTTCTTGTTTAAGAGCTAACTTAAAAAATTACGAGTATAAAGCTCATTAACAATAAAAAATGATTTACACTTTTAAGTCACAGTAATTTGACAAAAAAAAAAAATTAACTCAACTTCAATAAGATTTATGATTCAGTTCCTTAGTTGCAGTAGTTGTATTTCCAGTACTCAACATCCCATGTAGCTAGTGGCTACCGTACTGGACATGGTTATGGAACTATATGATAATTCTATTATCATAGAAGATAAAATTCTCTTTCTCCCAACTTTATCTTTTTAAAAACTATGACTATAAATTGATGCAGTAACAATTAGCCTCTTTCAAGGTACTTTCGTATTTAAAAAATTTTTATCGAAGTAAATGAGTCCAAAATTTAGTTAGGAAGGTTGAATTTAAAATTTTTCTTCTGAAATACTTTTTCTAAAAAAACTTTTGGGTTTACAAAGCCCAGCTGAGTGTCTAATTTTATGATAGGGACTCACTTACTCACAAATATTTGCTGTGCACTTACCATATGTATACATCATTGCATCAGCAATTATGAAAGATAAACTGAACTTTATAAAAAGCCAGTCTCTGCTTTAAAAAACTGTATAGGGAAGATATATACAAAAGTTTAAAATACAAAGCAAAATGCAGTAGGGGCCAAATGAGTAGTACAAGCAGGGATTAAGTACTTTCTACCAGTTAAACACATAAGGTAAGGTTGAAGAAAACATCAAAAGTAGCCAGATATTACAGCAAATTTCATTGTTCAAACAAAATTATAGTACCTAGGAGAAGAAAGAAAACTTTAAAAATAAAAATATCAAATTACCTGTCTCTGCCTTGCTGCCATTCTAATTCTGGCTGCTGCTTCTTGAGGATGAAGTAAAACTGAACTTTGAGCTACAGTTGTGAGAGACTGAGTCTCATTTATTTCTAAAAGAGTCCCCAAAACAAAAAATTAGTTTCAGTAATTTAGAATTGACACCACTACCATGCCCTTTGTTCACTTATTAAATGTAATTTTTTAAAGAAAAAGATGTGAAGAGTCAAGTTTAATTTGAGGATGTGACAGAAAGAAATACCTTGTTTCTTTTCAGAGTCTGCATCACATGAATGTGGTTCACTAGTAAGCGGGCCAGAGTCAACTGTTGTTAGCATATCACTTTCAACAACTGTAAGAGATACATTATAATGTTACCATTGTCAAGCTTAAATCTGAACAAAATAACAAAAATCTGCATTCATGAAAAGAATTCATTCTTGGTCCACATGTCTTCTTATTAACATCTAATCACCTTCCAGATGACCACACATTTTATCCATTAAACTCAAGCCTGATTAAAAAAATAAAATTGTGAGCCAGAAGAAAAAATGAAGAACTGATTAAAAAGGTATGCTGACAGTTTCAAACACAATGGAAAAGCACAAAAGGAGTATGAATAAGCAAGGTACCAAAGTTTAAAAAGAGAAGTTAACTTATCTTTGACATATTTAGATACTAGGATTTTGATTACTCATGACATCAGAGCAGAGAAGTTAAGCAATTTCCTTTGATCTTATTAGTAGCTAGAAACTCCCCATCAAGCATTTTCATTCATTCATTCACTCATTTATTCACCCAGTACCTATTTAAAGTGCTGTATGTTGGGGATGCCATGATACATAAGAGAAGGCCTTTAGGAGGTTTTATAGGGTGAGTGGGGTCATAAGCATTACATAATCATCTTAGAAAACAAAATTAGAAACTGTGATAAGTATTACATAAGAAAAATAAAGGGTCATGCAATAGAATATTACAGGGGGATCTGAATCAGACTAGGAGCTGAGATTTCTTTTAGGAAATGACATTTAAGCAGACATCTGAAAGGTAAGGAGGGATTGGGCAGGTAAAGAATGTGGGGATGCTCAGATCTTTCCAAACAGATCAGCAGGTATCCTCATAGGCCCTGTGGGGATAAAACGCTCAGTTCATTCAAGGAACTGGAAAAAGATCAATGAATACAGGTGTAGTCAGACAAGGGGGATAATGAGGCACGATGAGGCTAGGGAAAGCCTATCCCAAGGCCTTTTTCAAAATAACTTGGAATGGGCTGAAACGAAGAGCCCCCTTTGACTGAATCCCAACACCAAGTACTCTCTCTCCCACTTCTTTGGCCATTCTTTTCTAGTGCCTTTGCTGTTTGCCCCTTCACTAACCATTTTCTAAATGCTGGAGGCCCTTCAGATGGCCTTTTAAGCCCTCTTCTCACTGAATTCTTTCTTCTAAAAGAGTTATTCCATGTCCATGGCTTGAAATATTATATGTCTGACTTCTAAACTTGCCCCTTTTGCTTTAAAGTATTTGATTAATTCAGCAACTAACTGAGCACTGGTCTAGGCTCTGGGGATATAGCAACGAACAAAACCAAGTTCTTACCCTCACAGACATCACATTCTGTGACTGGAGAACGGGCAAGGTGGAGAGGGGCAGGTGTCAGGACAAGAAGCAAATAAGCAGAAAAGTAAACTTATGGTCCAGATGTTGTTAAGAGGTATGGAGAAAAAGCAGAGTAAAGGGGATAAGGAGTGAAGGATATGTATGAGGCGGAAGGGCAGAAGCTTGCTGTTTTGTGTAGAGTGGTCAGAGAAGGCCTTACTGAGAATGTAGTATTTGAGCAAATATTTAAAGAAAGGGAGAGTAAGCCATAGAAATATCCAAGAACATCCCAGCAAAAAAGACCAGGAAGTGCAGAGACCATGTAAGTCATGTTTGCTGTGTCTGAGGGTCACCCAGAGAGCCAGTGCCTAGAGTGCAGTGGTGGGGAGGGAAGTATGGCAGAAAATGAAGTCAGACACATGGAGGACGAGAGAGGTGGGGTGTTGAGAGAAGTGGGGTGTGTGCCTGCACGCCCGCAATCTGATGCCACTGTAAGCATGCTGGTGGTTACAAAAATGGGTAGCTGTTGGAGGGCTTCCCCTGGAGGAACAGCACAGGCTGATGTGCATTTTAATATGATGACTCCAGGAATTGATTATAGCAGAGAGGAGCAAACACTGAAAACAGAGACCAGTAAGGAAGCTACGACAAGAATCTACATTAGAAATGAACTTCACTTAAACTAGGATGGTAGGTGGTGAGAAATGGTTAGACTTTGGACATATTTTGAGAGTAGGATCAACAGGATTTGCTGATGGGTTTCAATTTCGATTAAAGAGGGAAATGACAAGCTTTTTGGCTTGAACAAGGTAATTTTATTGCCACTTATTGGATTGTCTGAAAAGCAGGTGGAAGGTGGGAGGGGCTATCAAGAATTCAGTTTTGGAAAAGCTGAAGATGTGATTAGATATATGATGGATGTTTAAATAAATGAGTGGAGTTCAAAGAAGAGATCAAGCCTATAAATCTGCAACTGAAAGTCATCAGTATATAGATGATAATGTAGTCATGCCAGTAGAGGTCAACCAGGGGGAATGGCTACAAAGAGAAAACATTCCAGAAACAAGCCCTAGGGACCAGTGGTTGTGGAGATGAGGATGAGCAGCAGAGGAAACTATGACAGGAGCCAGTGAGGTGGGAAAACCAAGAAAGAGTGATGTTAAGACGTCAATGAAGAAATTTTTTCCAGGTGTCCTGTTCAGTGCTTAGGATAAAATAAAAAATCTAACTATGGACTAAAAGTCACTTCTATCAGAAGCCTGGTAGAAAAACATTTCCCTACAAATCTAATCACATCTTTTAAAAATATCCAGAAGATAAAACTCAAGAAAAACTCTAAATCAAAGAGTAGTTATATCATCACCATTCCATTTGTCAGTATATATTTCAAGTAGATGCTGTTGGCTTGATCTCTGTAACTTCTGGAAATATATTTAATAGCCTATTTATCTACCAAAAAAAAATTCTTTAAAACTAATGAAGAAACCAAATCTCTGGTGATAATGTAAAATAAGCACACAATACAATACACTCAAAAGCTCTTAATGTTCAATCTCTTTCAAGGAATTTTTTCAAGGTTTGTTCCTAAGGAAATAATTAAAGATGTGGGCAAAGAGATTTTCTGAAACTGGGAGATTATAGTTTTGCTAAAAGGAAGCTCAATGTAACACAAGAAATAACAAGAAAAATGAGGAACAGCCTAAATGTCTCAACAAGGAATGATTAATTTTGGTTCATCAATTGCAGTGGAATTAATATTTGTATGAATACTACTACTACGCTGGAAGTGTTTGGGAAGGAGATTCACCAAGGGTTTTAATGTTATCGCCTTTAAGTGGCAGCATTACAGGCTTTAAGATGTCTCCTTCCTTTCAACCTCTATTCTTTGATTCTGTGATAAGTACTACATAAGAAAAATAAAGGGTTATGCAATAGAATATTACAGGGGTATCTGAATTAGACTAGGAGCTCAGATGACATTTCTTTTAGGAAATGACATTTAAGCAGATATCTGAAAGTAAGGAGGGATCAGGCAGGTAAAGAATGTGGGGATGCTCAGATCCTTCCAAACAGATCAGCAAGTATCCTCATAGAAATGAGCACATTTTTTTAAACAATTTAGAAAGAGTTTATGTGCTATAAAATGAAACTATTGAAGAGAACCACCTTGTTCCTGCTCAGACGATAATGTTCTATCTTCACTAGCAGTTGCTCCTGATTCAACTGTTTGTGTTTTACTCTCAGTTTCACTAATAGTTGTAATCATTTCACTTTCATCCTCAGATGTGGATTTAATTGTCCAGAGAGATTTTTGGCTTCGGATTTTGTTTAATAATTTTTTAAAAAGAATTTTTGAAGGGACCTGGTGGGTCTTCATTGCCAAAGGAACTAAAAGAAAAAAAAAATTTATTCAGTACCTATTACATACCAGATATTCTATCTTTATACTTAGTTACCACACTTAACTACTAGTGAAAACAAAACACAACTTTATTTTCCTCAACATTTATAATTTAACAACATATACAACACTGTTCAACCTCAATCATAATTTTGTAACCAGGAATAATTTTTTTCAACTTAAATAAAGGCACCAAAATTCAATTGTTTTCCATTATGTATGCAACACAAATTTCATGCTTAAAAATTTATCAGGAAGATGTTTATGCTGCTTGCTAAATGAAGGCAGAATGCATCTCTCTTAATTTGTGGATAAGATTAGCATTTGAAATATGTGCTGTAACATTCTAATACCCTATGCTAGACAAGGATCCCAAATAAGGCTCTGTACTTCTAATAGGCCACAGAGAAAAACATATACAAGTTATTACCTTAAAAGCAAATCAAGTCCTCCCTAATTATTCCTGGTACTAGTTGAAGAAAATTTCTCCCACCTGTCTTCATAAAGAGACCCCCCCTCCACCTCAACCCCCCACCCCACCCCCTCATCCACTTCCACCCCCAACTTCAGTTAAAAAAAATTCTTGTTTACTTAAACATCCTTCCATGTTGGCTGACGGTATGACATCAAAACTCAGTACAGTACACTAGTAGTTCTCTAAGGGGACAAAACTATGTTGCAAATATATAGTTCTCTGGCTTAAGGAATAAAATTTCAGAAATCTGCAGAGGTTGAAAAGTGGCAGGATGTAGTTTTGTCTAACCCACTTTTTAAAAAATCTTTCTACCTGAATTATAACTTACAAACAAAAAAGTACACAAGACCTAAGTGTCCATACACCTATGTAACACCATCCAGATCATTCTGTGGACCATTTCCAGCACCCAGAAGTCTCCTTCATGGCCCCCCCAGTCAAATTACCCTTGAAGGCAGTCATTACTCTAACCTTGAGACCAGATTAGTTTTGCCTGTTTTTTCTTTTCCTCCAACTTCTTACAAATATGTAATCATATTTAGGTATTATTTTCTGCCTGGCTTCTTTCACTCATCATTAGTCTATACTCACTCACTTTTAAGAAATAAATTAGTTGCCAATATTTAAATATAAGGAATTTTAAATCAGTGGGATTTCCAAGTTCTTTCGAAAAATCAAGAGCTGGCAACACCAAGCCAGCAATCTGAAAGGGGTCAGCAGGAGCTCTTAGATAATTCTGACAAAAGAGAGATCTAAATGATATTCCCAATTAAAAAAATTAAAAAGCTAGATGAAATAATAAAAATCTCTTCTTAAAGGCCTTGCTCATCTGGCAAGAAAACAGAAGATTTGCAAAGGCCAGAAATAAACTTCAGTTGGGAATGGTGGGATGCAAGTGAGTCCTGAACTCATCTTCTGAAGTTCATGCCAAACCACAGCAGTGTGGGTCTAAGAGACAGATAGAGCCTAAGCCTCCTCCAAGGGATCTTGCAAGAGACCCACATAAAGGTGGAACCCCAAGGGCGGTCTCTCCACAGTGTAGGATGAAGATGGTGAGAAAACCTGAGCAGTTTTGAACAATGGCAATACTAGCAGGCATGGAGGGAAAAAGAGGTCAAAATAAAGAGAACTTGGTCTCTAAGGAGATGTGGAGTAGAAGAGAGGGCAGTAACTCTCACTGGTCTGGCTTGGATAACTGCAGACTATAGTATCATTCAATGACATGAGGAAGACAGGAAGACAAGGTCTCAATAGGCAGCAGGAGGTGAAAAAGTTTAGAATGGTGTAGATAAAAATGAAGTTCAGAGAGAGATCTAAGTTTGTGCTGGTCATCATCACACGTGAAGTGCCTAGCAGTAACTGACGCAGTAGGATCTCTTTGGTGATTTGATTAAAGTCTACAAAATGCTGACCTTCCAAATGAATTCAGAATTTAACACCTAACTTAAATAAACTATAAAAATCTTCAGACCATATGTACCTATGAATGAAAAAACTGTCCTTTGTATATGAAGATCTTTAATTGATAGAAATCTGAAAACTTTGTTTCTTCCTTTCATTCTCTCATTCCTATCATTAATATTAGTCACTGTTTGTTAATTATACCAGACTTTGCTATTAGTGAATGATTAGCATTTTTCTATGAAATACTATAAAATTCAGCTCAGAAGTTTTTACCGTGTGCTTCACTAGAACATATCATTTTGGCTTCTGTCACTGGTATGTTTTCAGTTTCCTCTAAATTTTCTTGTTCCATTGAAACGTCCAGTTCTTTATCTTGGATCTGATCAGTCACCGTGGGCAAAGGCTCTGGTTCAAGGTGCAAAATCAGGTTTCCTTTCACCTCTCAAATAAAGAAATATAGAGACCTGTTTCCATTCCAAAATGACTAAAAAGAACTTCAACACAGAATTTTAAAGGCCATGATAGTTTCTAAGTTAAAATATGAGGGCCTTTTTCAAACTAAGAACTCATTTCCAAATACAAACTGCTTCAACAATACAAATGTATTTTCCCACCAAAACAGTTAAAAGAACTGCTGAAAGTTTACTGAAAATATCTTACTCCTGTCTGCATTGTACATGTCTTCAAAGGCAAATTCCAGCTCTCTCTGCCAATCTTCTTTCATTTCACTCCGTCTGTAGAGAGGTGCAAGGAGCTGTGGTGGCATTCGTGCTACAGTCTGTCTCCTGCGTGCCAGGTCCTCTTGTTGTAGCTGTTTAAGTTCTTTCATTAGTTTCTCTTGATTCTTCAAGAACAAAGAGAATTAACAACAGTTGAGTCACAAACTTGGGCTAGAAACATTAAGACTGAGGGAAAAGTGGAGAACTCACGAAGAACAAGGACTGGAGTTCCGTCCCCTCCTCCACAATCTATTCTACTGCAAAAAGACAATTAATGTACTCATTCAAAAAAAATATCTTGTGAATGCCAGATACCATGCTAGATGGTTAGGCCACAACACTTCAAAAATATCTGCCAGGTACAGATCTCCTTTCTCAGCATAGTTATGAAACTACATTCTATGTAAGTTGCCAGGGCTCCTGTAATGTACTTTGTTCCAGTTCTCTGTGCAGCCAGTCTCAAGTAAGCACCAAGACCCAGACTGACTGCAGCTTACCAGATGGTATTTCTTGTTACTTCACACTCATAAATCTTCATGGTTTATAAGTATGTATCTCTTTAAACTTAAAAAATGCGGCTAATGTGCAAGTTTAAGGATAATACCAGTGAGGCTAACTAACTGAATTTTGGTGGTACAAGATAGGAGGGGAGATAAGGAAAGACCTCTCACCGTTTGGGGCGAGGATTTAGCCAGAGAACAGTGGTGAAGGAGGAGGAAGAGTGCCAGAAGGAAAAACAAGTGCAGCACAGAGGTATGGAGATGCAGGCACAGGGCGTCCGAGAGAGCACACTGTTCGTTACAGACAGGGTATGGGGAGCAAGACTGGTTAAGGAAAAAGGCAAAGTTGGAGAGGCCAAATACTTGTTCTATCAGATACTAGCAGCTCCCACTGCACGATGGGGCAGAAAGGTTCAGACAGGGGAAAAGGGAATCCTTCAGTGGTTCTGACGACCATTCTTGTGTAAGAGTCACTAAGCCTATGAAAAGGTGGAGAGCCTGTATGACACAGTGTTTGTCAAGTGATGATACACACTACTTATTCTTATGTAAAACTTTAAATAATTTGTTATTTGGAGATGAGTTTGCCATGCCCTGAAAAAGATCAAATTACGAACGAATTTATTCCATTTATATTAAGATTTAAATCATCTCATTAAATTAACTTCAGAGTTTTTGAATAACTATGCTATTTCTGGCTCATTCAATGTGTGGCTTTATTCTACTTGAATTATTTATAAAAACACCACCACCACTGACATTTACTGTGAGCTTATGAAATTCCAGGCACAATTCGAAGGGCTTTAGTAAACTCATTTGATCTTCACAAAACAAATGCTGAAACAAAGCTCAGATAGAGTAGGTAACTTGCCTGAGATCAAACAGCTAAACAATGAGAAAGGGAGGAAAATCCAGGATAACAGACCTGGAAGTGTACTTTCTTAATCACTAAATATGACTGATTTATTTAAAATGGAAGAATGTGTTCAGTTCATGATTGCTTTCCACATGTTTCTACAGAGGAGAATTACTGGTAATAATTCAGACATTCGGCTGTTTTAGTCAAAATTAACTCCCAATTTATCAAACCTAAAAATTTATGGGAGAAGGCCATAATTTGTTCAAACTGTACAAATGAACCTTAGATCACTTAATTCCCACAGATTTACTTAACCCATCCTTTAGATGAGTGTTTAAAACATCCCTTAATGTTTAAAACATCCAAATGCATTAGTCTAATTAGTCAGAAAATAAAAGTTCTAAAGCGATAAATCATTTATATGCTATATTTCAAGAATAAACACTCACTAAACAATCAGCATGACAGAAGTGAAGCTAAAACCATAGCCAGTTTTCACTATACATATTTTACAGCTGTGACAGCCACTTTTTCAAAGCTCTTTGATAGCAAGTATCACAAGTCTACCTTCCAGTCAATACTCTGAAAAGATAACAGGTGCTTTGCTCAATATTTAATGAATCAAATCCAAAAATGTGCATAGCATAATTGAAATTCAAATAATTAAATCAGAAAAGGGACTGATTTATTCTCAGGCTATTTTTGGACTGATAAAAATATTCTTTTAATAAATTCATCATTAGTAAAAATTTTAGAACAGCAATATACTATAAGTGAGAATCTGAATTTGAAACAGGAGGAAAAAGCAAGCTGGGAACCTTGAAATGACATGAATCAGACTGTTTTCACATTCCTCATACCTCTGTACTTTGAGCCCCTTCACTAATCAGTTCTACAGTGCTGCTGGCAATATCAACAGTTGTCACAGCCAGAATTCAATTCTTACTTGAGCCAAATGGATCTTTTTCATTGCTTGGAAACCCCGCATGTGTGCCTTTTCACTCTGTTGCATTCTCTGTTGCACTGCTTGTTTTTGTAGTTCTTCCAATCTTTTAGCTTCTTCTTCAGCAGCCAAATGAGGGTCTGGCTAGCAGTCAAGTAATAACATATTTCAGACAATTAAAAAATGTGTGAAACAAAGTGATAAGTAAAAAACAAACAATTTTAAAATCATGTTTTCTATTTATAAAAAATTAAATGATAAAAAGATGTAAAATGTCCACTCTTTATCAACAGCATATATATATGAATAAAAATCAAATTGTTAGTGTAAAGTTTTACAAGTTGTTCATTTTAAACTAGATTATACTATGCTGAACCAAACACACTCCTCTATCATTTTTTAAAGAAATTCCATTAAAAGGACAATGTTGAAAGGTAAAACACTAGTAGTTAAGAAACCACAAACATCAAAGGTCACGTAAAGGAAACACTGAGATTTGCCTGGTTTTCAGCCACCTGCTGCTTGGCTTCAGTCTCAGGAAGGCCAAATCACCAAAACAGCGACTCTAACATAATTTCTGACTTCTTAGAACTGTGTTGATAATCAATGATCAAGTGGTGGTACTGCCTGCTGCCATCTCATTGACAGAACAATACTGGTATCAGATAAGGGGGGAGGGAGGGACACATAACTTGATTTATTTACACCTTCATTTACAAATGAAGATAAACGTTTCAAATGTAACTTTAAGTAAAAAAAATCTTATGATCTTGAAAGCCATTAGCTATATATGTAAGATTATTTATAACTCAGTGAGATAAATAGGTAAAAAGACTGACGGTTAATATATAAAGAAAGAGTGCACTGGACAAACAAGTCTTTGAAAAAATATCCCTTTTGAGTTAGTATTTATGCAAATCTAAATACCAGACAGAACAAAGGTTAGATTATAATCTCTATAAAATTAGTGTATTAATACACATAACAGTAAATAAAATATCCTTTAAGAACAATATTCCATTCCATTTAGGACATGAGGTTTTCAAGAAAAAATTTGTTTGGGAACTCTTCACATTGAGGTTGAATTAAAAACAGAATGCCAAAATGTTAAAGGAAGGAAAAACTACAAAACATAAACATGCATAATAAAATGTTTAGTCTAGACATAATGAGATATTTGAAGGATATAAATAACGGATTAAAGAAAAATTACATACCCCAAACTAATTTTATTCTGCCCTAACTTCAAAACAAGATTTTACAAGAATGTATTAGGAAGACAATCCCTTATAGATTCGTGTCAATGTAATTAAAAACTTAAAACACAAATCTGATTGAAATAATTCTTAGATTACATCTTCAGTGGTTGAACTCAAAAGGTATGTACAATCTGCAAACACTGTAAATCCCAAGCAAAAATTTTTTTAGAAAACATTTTTCTGAAAAACTTCTTCATGAATTATTATCTGCAGTGCACAGAATGGTAAGTGATATAATTAGAATGTTACTTCTGCACCTTGTAGGTGAGACATTTGTACAGCAATCTTCTAACTAGGATAGTATGGTAAACTAATGAACGGAACTGTTTTTGCTTTACTTGTCTGTATGTTTCTGCAGCAAATACAGTGGATCAGATTGGAAAAATGTTTTTAGGGTGAAAAAACTATTTTTAACAAATGCTACGCAACTGCTGTTAACAAAGGATCAAACACAATGAAAACCACGAGTAATTAGAAATTTTAAGCATATGATGTTCTGTTTAATTGTTTGTACAGAAAGTAAAGGAAGCAAAACATAATTTAGAGAATAACTAGCTCCAAGTAGGAATAGAGCAGGCCACCTTCATCTTCTTCAGCCAAGGACAAACTGTACGACATATATGAGATCTTAGCACTACTTTATCAGGATATTCAAACCAAACATGATAGCAGCTATCACATATTAAAGAAGCATATTAAAAACTACAAGTATTTAACTGCAGAAAGATGCTCAAACCAAACATACATGCTAAGAGTACAAGTATTTTTTACATGGTACGTGCTGTAAAGATCCTATCGTTCTACTCCAGGAAAAATGCTAAATTATTGTGCATGTGATATAAGCTTATTCACAGATAATTTTGTTACCTGGAAAACCTAGCACAATGCTCCACTGTCACAATTTAAACTCAAGGTTTAAGGACAGATTTTTCTCAGGTGATGGATGCCGTGAAGAACAAATTGAAAATATCGGAATGCTTTAGTTTGTGGGACTGTTTTTATAAAACTGTATTGTAACTACTCATCTACTCTTTAAGTACTGAAATTGAAGAAGAGATACATCTTTTAGTTATCAAAGAGGAAAGTTTAATAACTTATTGCAACATCATCAGCAGTATCCTTCTAGGAAAGCTGTGTTACACTAGCTCTAAGCTACAGCTGGGCAAAAATAAGACTTTCTTCATCCATCTTAGTTGAAAGGGAACATCTGCAAATATGTAGTCTAGTAACCACAAGAATAAGTGAGAAACAGACTGAAGTTATTGTTCTTACATTATAATATTTAGGTTGTAATAATTTATGATTTTAAGCAAATTCCAAGATTTACTTTTGTTTCTTAGAAGTTAATTCTATGATGCTTATACTCCTTTTAGGTCCCGACTGAATACTTATTTTAACACTTGCTATTGAGCATGTGTATTTGCTGCATCCTAAACTCCATATGAATTTTACATTGAGAAAGTTTATTTTCCTAGTTGCCAAATATATCCATAAGAAACAAAAATTAAAACCCACTGTTACAAAGATATTTATAACAAGATTATCATGTCACTCTTAAGACTGGCAATAATTTTTAAGCCACAATATACATACACACAAGGATATGATAAAATAAATGGTCATTCTCAAGTTGCTGAGGCTTTAAAAAGGCAATTTAATCATCCATATCAAGTATCTGTATCAAATGCTATACAATTTGAAATCAATAATTTATCTTATAGAAATCCACTCTAAACAGACAGTTGTAGACAAAAATGTACAAAATTATGTTTGCATTACTTACAGAGCAGAAAAAAAGGGAGAATGGTTAAATTCTAGGATGAAATATTAGTGCCTATTAAAAATCATGTTTTGAAAATATATGTTTATATATATTAATGAATTAATTCATTTACGTATTAACAACATTACATTTTGGTGATGGAATCACAGGTATTTTCCCTATAGTTTATGTTTATGTGTTTAATTCCAAATTTTTAACAAAGAGCATATATTATTTTTATGATTACAAAGGTTTTAAAATCTGCTATTTTAAAATATACCATTTAAGTAATTAACTCCTTTCATATGAAATCATCATTCATATTAACATGACATAATTCAAAGCATACTTAAAAGATAGCCTAAGATGGTTGGTTAGTAGAGGTGTTTCAACTTTGGTATCTGAGAATATACACAGAACCAAGACATAGCTTAATTCAATGAACAGAGAAATAATAAAAGGGAGGATCATGAAGAAACAGTAAGTCGGTCACCTGCTTTGTGCCCATCTCTCTATTCACAAAACTGTAAAGATGATGGTAGGTAGAGCTACTAGTTTCCACATTGGTAATTCTCTTTACTTCAATGTTCTGAAAAATGGAACATAGAAAACAGATAGGTTAAACGTATTTACATTTAAAGTTGAATCCAATGAAAAAATTTTGTATTTTAATCCATCATCCTTGTTTGTTTTTTTCACATGGGAATGTACTGTATTTCCATTAAACTAGAATTTAGGTTTAAAAACTAATTATATTTAGGCAAGAATACTAACTAGGTGATGCTAATTAGTTTAATGCATCACATCAGGAGGCACGTAATAGCTTTACTCCCATTATTGATTCTCAATTTGATCATTTGGTTCAGTGGTTCATGCCCAGCGATAAGAGAAGTTCCCTTCTTTATTCAAACAGTAGCAGACCAATGAATAAATGTAGAATGATGGCAAGTACCTGTCTGGTGCCAAAATACCACTTCACAAATTTCTTGGTAACTGAAGATAAAATGGTTACCAAAGGGAGGGCTGTGGGAGGGCGGGTGGGGAGGGAGGGAGAAGGGGATTGAGGGGTTTATGATTGGCACACACAGTGTGGGAGGGTATCATGGGGAAGATAGTGTAGCACAGAAAAGGCAAATAGTGAATCTGTGGCATCTTACTACACTGATGGACAGTTACTGCATTGGGGTATGGGTGGGGACTTGAAAAGGTGGGTAAATGTAGTAACCACATTGTTTTTTCATGTGAAACCTTCATAAGAGTGTATATCAATCATAACTTAATAAAAAATTTAAAAAAATAAAAATAAAAAATAAAAAAGCTGGCTAGGGTTGGGGGAGATAATGTTCCAGAGACAAAACGAAAGCAACGGCTGAACCCTGACTGGATTCTGGTTTAAAAAGAGTAGTGAGAATGCTGATGGACAGTGACTGTAACGGGGACTGTGAGGAGAACTTGGTGAAGTGGGGAGCCTAGTAAACATAATGTTCTGCATGTAACTGTAGATTAATGATAACAACAACAACAAAAAAAGAGTAGTAAGATAAGACAGTTTAGGAAAAATTGAAGTATTTTCATTATAGACTGTAGATTAAATGGTATTAAGG